TTTTTGAGTTTATACTGATAGAATTTCTTTAATTATTATTGAATTAGTAAGTTTTCGTTTTCAAGTTCCTTTCAGTACAATAAAAATTTCATGTTCTTTAACCTTTACTCGGTTACTATTTTAAGATATTCAATAAAACTTGATATAGAGGAATTTTTGTGACAATGAAACATGAACGTAAGATTATTTTTTACCTAAAACACAGAGATCACTGGGATCGCTAGGAAAGGGTTTTGATTTGTGTGAGATTAGTTAGTGAAACACACTATACTTATTAAAACCGCTATATTTTAGTAGGCTCTGACTTTTTATGGGAGTAAGTTGGTCTACATGTAATATAATTTATATATTTAATAAAATTTAGTTAAGTAAAGTTTAATTAGACTAAAATATCACGAAATACTCGACTGTTTCTGATCTTAATGATCCCTTATAAATCTAATGATCGTAGCTGGTTATATCAGTTCTTGTCTTTTTATTAGAATAGTATACAGAGTGGACAGTTCTACATTTTCCGTTGTTAGTATCTTGTGAATAGTAGGAGATATGACGCTATATTGTAACTGTATCTACATGTAACTTTTTCTTTACATATTTGCCAGTTATTTTGTCTCTCTCTTTCATTAAATAGATAAGTCAGTAGCTAAAGTTTTTCAGAAAATGTGAGATTTTTTTCAACCCTTCATAGTTTATTGTTGATATTTTATTACTCTATGTACAGGGTGATCCATTAACGGTATCGAGCGATTGTATTTCGAAATTTCGCTTATATAACCTAAGTTGCAAATACATTTTTTAGATACACTGTTAAACCCTTCACAAGTTTTGTTTGAACTTTTTTTTTGTTATTACCATAGCAACGTCAGTATGAAGGACGCTATCTTGAAATTTTTAATTTGTCATAACTTCTAAATGCCTTAATCGATTTCAATAAGCGATGGCTCATTTTAAAGAACTATTAATAAAATTTATTTTTATGATATTGGAATGAAAATATTATTTTCCTGCGCAGCGGTAGACGACGCTAATGAGAAAAGTTATATAATTGTGTGTTAAATGCAACGATATAGGTTTTCTTTCATGGCTTGATAGATTATGGAAAACAAATACACAAACTGGAAGTCGATATATTTTTTCATTTACAAGTTATTGTTAAAATAGTGAGGTTGTGCTAGAACATCCTGCTTTATTTAGTTCTCTGAATAACATTGACATAATCCAAGCCAAAATTAAATTGTAAAACTATACCAATCTTGTCCTTAAAAAGAATTATAGCTTTATTTTGATAACTGCAATATTTCATTTTTTTTTATTAATTCCAAATATCTGAGTAGTTATAAAGATTATTGTTTCCATAACGAAGGAGGCTATGTCCCATGAAAATAGACAAATAAAAAATTATGTCAAACGATATGTGTCAGCTCTTGCTTCGTGCAAAATTAGTATCATTCGTGTGAGAAAAGTACTTGTGTTCTATATGAAATTCCCAGGTCTCTAACTAATTGGCTTAGACTTATTTGGGAAATTACATAGACACAAGCATATAATACATATTAATAATATTCAGCCCTACTCTGTAACTTGCATCGAAATGGCCGGATCGAGTCGAAATGTTCGCAATTCGTAAAGTTCAATATCTATCGCGTCGATCGTTTCCTAAAATTGGTATTCTGTAACTCAAATCGTAGAAGTTACAAATCATAGAAAAATACCTCGATTCGATGCCGGTTTAGCGTAATGGCAACAATGCATTGCTCTGCGATTATAGACTTTAATAACCAAGTGACATTTAGAGAGGTTAGAAATTTCAAAATATGAAATATGCAAATTAGCTGTAAAAATAAGATAAATGTGCCTTTTACAAGATTTAGCGCAGGTATAAAAAGTGGAATTTACG